GGGGGGGGGGGGGGGGGAGGGAGGAACCCGCAGGATTTCAGTTTTTAACTTCTGTGCAATTCTGAATAGCGTGATTACTTTTGTTCGACTTTGAAAAGTTAATTGTGCCTCGACCAATCGGGTGGTATACAAATTCACAAAGATAGATACTGTAAGGGTTTGGGGTGTTTACTTCTCACCTCTGATTGACTCCCGGAGATTGACTTTCCTTAGTGATACAAAATAACTCTACAAATAATTCTAACACTTTCTAATTTGTACTGTAACTGAAACCTTGTTGACCCACATGGGCTCTTTGAGGCATAACTAAATAAGCTTATCAATAAACTATAAAGTAATAATCTTTCAGGGGCTCAATCCACATAGGAAAAAAGATGGTGGCTGTACATTTTACCACAATACCATGCGAACCTTACACAGCCTGCAAAGTACAAGGGAAGGCATATTTTGTTGCAATATTTGTCCCTGTCCTGACGACATTGTGTATGCCAGGTTGAAGATTTTAGAACTTTTCTATACATTTTTATGAACGTTGTTAAAGTTTCGTGGGCTAAGAATAAATGGGTAAATGTACCAGTTGGCATCTTTTTTCTTACGGAGGATTCACAAACCTCCCCAGTGTGAAGATCCATCCTAAGCATTGTTTCCTACCAATAGTCTTTTGTATTTGAACAATGCTTACAAGACATCTAAATCTAAAAGACCTTTGTGAATCTGGCCCCACAACTATAAACAGTTTACCTGGAATTCTTTGAAAGGGTACAAATACGGATTGCTGTAGTCTAATCCAATCTAAAATGAAAGACATGTTATACATCATACCAAGAATTTACTGCAAGATACAGGTGAAACAAAACAAGCATTACACCTTCAGAAACCTTACTAATAGTGATTCAATGTGTTGACTGAAGAAGGATTCAACACCCATCAAGCACTCACCACAAAGCCAACGGCAACTAAAGGAGAATCTTCATTGAGGTGGTACAGAAATGAGCCCCCATATGTATCCTTATCCTGTAGAACAAGGGAATTCAAATTCAGTTAAGGTGATTCCTCACATTTGCATCGCGCATCTTTACTGTGCATAATTTATGGCGTCATTAGCACGTGTTCGTGCACGCAAACATTGAAAACCTTGCGGATTTGCCTGAATATTGAGCTCTGTCAGTTGAAAAATGGCTCTAGCTCACCAACGAGCATGGGGACCCCACCTTTTTTTCCAGTCATTGTAATCAACTAATCATAAGCTTTGCATGAGAAAAGACTGATCTAATTTCTATTGCTGAAAATTGAATAAATAAGGAAAATAGCAGATACACTGTGGTCTTTTCTATTTTACAGTTTGACAACCATGTCAAGAAATTTGGTTCAAACTTTTAATCAAGGTTTAGCTTTCTGTCTGAATCAAACTTAAAATGTTTATTTGTGTCTGACGCAATGTATTGACTGTAGTCTAATTCATGTTCTCATGAGTCTGGGCTCACAAAGATTTCACAATTACTAGAATGCGTTCTTATAATAAGCATTAAATAATCCCAAGATGGGGCATTTTCAATACCTCACTGCTCTTTAATGAGCATGGGCACCCCCCTTTTCTATTTGAAAGTTGAAGTTCTCATATGATAAATATTCAGTGGACAAAGTTTGAACAAAAATCTATTGTCACTTTTATTTCAGAGGAATTACCTTAAATAACACTTTCTAAGTGAACTCCAAACTCACCCCGGAAATAAAAAGTAATGCAACATATGGTTAACCTTCGGAAGAGAGTTTGGCTTGGGGGGCATACAGATGAGTGACATTTCATGAGGCTAACACAAGGTCATGACCATGATAATATCAACTGTTAGCAACCAGTTCGGAAGAAGTACAATATAAAGTTGAGGTAGTTTCACTCTGCCTCCGGCTAAATATCCCATACTACTGAAGGGTATCCCAGTTTCTGTACATAGTATTATGCAACAAGAAGTATTTCAACCCCTCCCCTCACCCCTGTGGATGGAATGCTAGTCAATCATAAATTGAGATGTTACCCCTAGTTTAAATTTGCTCAGCCCTGTCAAAATATTCAGTAGTAGTAGGCAGGAAAACACATGTAGTAGGCAGTAAGTGTCAGATGTCATGTGCATCCATTATTACTCAGGATCAGTGAACTCCAGTGTGAATTAACTAACAGATAATTTACTATACGCAGGAGAATTGCCAACTGCCATCACATTTTGACGGGGCTGTTTTCTGGGTAGAGAGAGGCACTATGACAATAAGGTGTCTTTCCTAAGAACACATCATAATGACCAAAGTCATGGCTTGCATGCAGACCAGTCAATCTAGACTATGGCGCTCTCCAGAGCCTGGCAGATGGCAGCACTGAATTCTTCAATGCAGCATATTTCTTTCCCATCCGACTGTCGACCCAAGAGCATATTTTTTTTAATTTAAAAATTTACCAAACCTACCAAAGGCCAGCCAACAGTGTGCTCCACCCGTCCTGGATGATGTTTCTCTGGTGCTACTTCCCAAAGCTACAGCAACAAAATATGTTGTAGAATGCTATTATACTGATCCGTATATAAGCCTGCTCAAGTTATTTGATAACATTAAAACCATCTATTTGGATACCTGTTCAAATGAACGAGTTCAGATGACGAGTCCTCATTCTATTCACTCCTGACCCGACTATTTATTTTTAAATTGGACAGTAAGAAGTCCTGACAAATGTCTTGACACATCCCAACAAGGTCAGCTAACTGATCTGACAAATGAACAGAAAAACTTCTGATGATTTGCAAAGGCTCCCGTATTTTGACCAGGCAATGTCTTTTGGAATTCCTACTTAAGGACGTTTGTGCTAATTCTTTCTGTGTATCCTTACTGCGCATGCAAATTCGCATGCCACGTCATACATCAAGTGCACACTAAGTAATAAAATGAACAATGATAGGGCAGATGGCCATTGCTATAGCTTTGCCTGGATTTAACGATCTTGGACGTTCCATGACCCCTATGTTTCTTTTGATGGATCATTTTCTCTACCAATTTTCTACGTTTAGTGAAAAGATGAAAATCTATCAATTAAAAGTTTGAATTTTTTACAAAATGTACGATCGAACTCCGTTCTTTTTAGCTCTTTGTTTATCTGTGTAGCAGTTCAAATGCCTCTTGAAGGGTTAAGTTTTGTGAAAAAGTCGACAACATTTGGAATTATTTACCCAACAGACCCAGATCATTTGCCTCTGTTGACTCACCTTCAATATTTATAAAAATAAATCTCTGTAGACCATGCTAAATAACGTGCGCCAATTTTTTAAAATCATGGTAATTTTCCACATGCTTCATCTCTGAAATGAAGTTGGTGACCCCCCATTTTTTTTTTTTCTTTTTTGCATTTCTGACTGCAGTAAAAATTTTAAAAAAATCTATTCACTGAAAAATTTTTGCACGAACGTCTTTAAACCCTTGCCATTAGAACTGCTTACAATAGGAACCTGTTGTCTGCTTCTTATTGCACATGAAGGTAATGGTAAAAAATCAAAGGCAAACAGTTTGGATGCAGTAAATTTGCATTTGGAGGTCTCCTTGCCCTATTAAAATTGTTGACATGGCATATACATCCTTTTTTTTATTTTTGCAAATGAAATAAATGATGATGAAATAAATGAGGGTTACCTCTTTGAGTCCAATTGCATATGTTTGTGGATCACAGTTTTCTCGCAGGTTGAATTTCTTGTACAGGTTCTTAGCAAGATGGCCGTGGCATCCTTCACCAAATATAGTCACTTTAGCATGGAGTTCCATGCCTCGCTCAAATGTGGGCTATGAAAGAAGCATAAGTTTATTAACCCAAATTTTCAAACAGAAACTGTTTTGATGGCTTTTTAGATTAAAAGCATATTACGGTAAAGCAGCCAGTGTCATCATCTAGTTTTCTTTTTCAAGAGGTAATATGAGGTCCAAACAAACTTAAGGCCTAAGGCTTTGTTCAACTGGATATCGATCGCGATGTCTCATGCTGCACATGTTGTATACGCATTTGTTCCAAATATATGTATCACGGGTTTCAATAAAGGCTAGGCACTGGGCAAATTGACCAGCTGTGAGGATGATTTTGCTCACCTGGTTTGACCATCTAGAGGAATGTTTTTCATGTAGAAAAGTTCAGTTCAAAAACTTTTGCCTGCTTCTTAAACCTAGTTACCCTCCTGCTGAAAACTGTTAATCAATTCCCTGTGTAGTCTTCATAAATATAATCCTTCATTTTAATTAATAGATACAGTATTGCATGCAGGTTTACACTGCCCTATGGAAACACAAGAAAACCACATTGACATAAGGCCTCTTACAAAATGGCCAAACAGCCAATAAGAAAGTGTTATGGAAATAACAAATGACAAAGCAAAATAGTTCACCACCTTTGGGGAACCGTCTTTGTGGATTCCAACATCATTTGTGGCAATACCTTTTATACTGCCATCTTCATGGTAAAGGACCTAAAAAAGCAGAGAATTTTTTAAAATAAAGCTCAGGTATAAATTCTTAACTGTACTAATTTGTCATGACATTTTGACTTAATAGAAAGGAACATGAACCAGATAAGGGAATGCCGGCAATAGAACAGGAATGAAGTCCATTCAGTGCCATAACCAATTGGATCAATATTTATTCTAAGTGGTAAATTCAGGGCTTGACAAAAGTGTCATTCAGTCATCCAGGACAACTCTAAGAGATTAAATTCCTGCCAGGCAAGAAAATTTTCATTCTCACTTGCCCAATGGGCAACAACCATTATGTCATCAGCAAACTAAATTAAGAAAAAAAGTAACTGAAGACTTGCCCAGGGTAAGGAAAATTTGAGAGCTGCTTGTCTGAAAGGCTACCTAGAATTCAATTTTTTGGAGCCCTAGGTAAATTATAACAATTATTTATCAGACACTAATTCACTTACTTCACTAGCTGCATATCCAGGATAGATTTCCACTCCTAAAGCTTCCGCCTGCTCACCCAACCAACGAACAAAGTTACCAAGCCGTACAATGTAGTTGCCATGGTTGTACATAGGTAATCCTGTTGAAACAGAAGCACAACAATAAGGCCTTGTTTGCTTATTGCGGAAGGGGAGGGGGTGACGTGTTTATTTCCCACCCCTATCTGAATTTCAAACCTTCTCAGATCAGGTTGCTCAGGTAAAAACATCACTGTCAATATTACAACAAATGTCAACAAGTTAATCATCATTTTATAATCAGCTTCCATGTTGCTTCCATCAGCTTCTGATTGTATCACATGCAGGATTTTACCCCAAGGTTATCCCAATAAAATGCTGTATAATTTTCCCATTCCTCAAACAACAAACTTTTAAATAGAAAAATTAACAAATCGAATGTGGTTTAGCGTGGCCTGTACTCTTATTGACAATGATACGTGTCTTCACAGTGATCAAAATGCTGTGGACTCACGAGACACACATGGACTCACATGACAGGCATCGTTGTTGATAAGAGTACAGACCACACTAAACCACATTCCATTTATCAATTTTGCCGCAACATCAATGCTTTCAGAGCGCGAGCTGAAAAACATATCGTGTGACACATTAACGTGAGCAGCGTTGTCCCGACTCTTATCGAGAACTGCAAATTAGCTAATCAGATCACGAGATTAGTAGCAATTGTGGTAAAAAAAAGGCCTTTACATTTGTTCCAACAGTCTCAGCAAGGTCAACTCAAACAAACTCTTTTGCTTCTACACTCCTCCCCCAACCTAATTTCTAAAATTCCACTCTAAGGCAATTGGACATAACACATTTTATTGGGAAGGCCAAGCTGTTTCCAAACACTTATCACATTGTACCTGGCAGTATGGGGACAGGAATTCTTCCCTTCTCTGTTAGTATTGCAAATTTGTCCTCCTTTACAGGTGTATCAAGTGGTGCCTAACAAAAAAAAAATAGCAGTGTAAGTGAAAGAGTAAAAACATTCATTTACAATGAAAATTTCACTGTTCGAAGATTAAAAGAATAAGCACAATTAACATTTACTGTGAAACTCAGAGAACTGTAATCAATCCAAATATATATGGAATGTTATTGTTATTACCTTGCAGAGATTGAAACATTGTGCCTTTTTGTCTCAAAATTTTATAACAAAATCCTTTCCTGAGAAATTGCTCATTACTGTTATATTTGTGTACATAGCAAGGAAAAAGCCTAAGTAAACCGCAAACAGCAACAGTAATTTGGTTTATGGTTTTGAGGTCCTCAACTTGATCAGGGCTCAGAATAATTTTCGGACCGTGGCTGGTCATGTTGACCAGCCAAAGTAATTTTAGCTCGGTCATGTCTTGTTTCTGACCGGTCAAGATATTTTAAAAAAATTTATATAATGTTGGCCTAATTAAACCCACAAATATAATTTGTTTGTTCCAGTCGTTGCTAGACCGTTTAAAATTGGCCTACTACAAAGAAAAGCTTAAAACTTAACCAAAGACAGCCTTGGCAGGGCTCAGCAGCTCTATGAAGTGGCACACTCTCAGTGGAATTCTTGCCACCTGCCAAAGATAAAGTATTGAATGGATGCATATTTGATGAAACTTTGAATTTTTCGTTCGGTATATTGAATTCCATGAGCTGTTGTTTTGATGTTCTACAAAGTATTTATGTCCGTCAAAACGTAAATGAAACCAAACATGAATCAGCAGATCCTAATTTTGGACTTCAGAAATAACTGGGTGAACAAATATAGCCGAAGAAGAAGTTTCTGTTTGCTCGATTCTTACCCGTGCAAACACACAACACTGAAATCATCGCGTCGCTACGAATACAGCTACAGTTACACAACAAGAGTTGAGAAGTTTCTTAATGATGTGACTAAAATTAAGTTCTAAAGTGTAAGCCATAAAAAATGTAAACTCTGTTGTAGTCATATTAGAGAGAGTATCATTCGAAAGATTTTACCAACCAACGAGTTGAGAGTGTCTCAAATTTCATTTGTGAACAAAATAACTTTACAGATACAGATACTGATGTAAAGGCCTTCAGCATTTTTGTTGGTACATAATAATTTTCATCTGTTATGTAACAGTAACTTATCAGTTGGTTCTAAATTAGATACTGGGTTCGTGCTCAATGTTACATTTACAGCTTGATGGAAACAAAGCAGACTGCAAAATGCGTGTTTTGATGTCCCAGACTTCCGTTGTGTCTAAGTTGGAAACAACTTGACAATCAAGCGAAAAGTTTTGTTTTAGTGTCTTGTTCGTCGATTTTTGTGCGGTGAAAGTGAAAGAAACGACAAATATCTTGACATCTGTAGAGCAATACCTTTGAAATATATGCCAACAAAGAGAGGAAGGCAAATCTAAAGCGTCACAAAAAGCTGAATCTAATCGGATTCTTTGTCATATGGAAAACCTCTGCTGTTCGAAAGGCTGAATAGTTTTGAATTCTGAATTGGAAACGGCTGCCATCCTTAAAGATGAAAATATATTTCCAAAGGATAGCAGCAGTTGTTCGAATGGCTGAATATTTTTCTGAACGGATAACCCCAGCCATTTGAATTGCATTCCTATCGATCTTGAATGCATGACAAACAGCAAGCAATGGATTTTTAGCCATTCCAACAGATACGCGTTGGTGTATGTTTTCGTGTGAGAGGCCATAATAGAAAACAGAATAACAATCTAAGATTTACAGTTGAAGATTTGATTGTTTATTCAAGAATGAACAACGTGACCATCTCAACATGACATGACTGGCAAGTTAAGTTTTTGGCCGGACATTGTCCGTTGACTAGCCATTATTTTGAGCCCTGTTGATTGTGATTGGTCAGTACACAATGACCTGTCAGAATCAAATCACATGTTTTCTACATATAACTTTAACTGTACATAATTCAGGTATTTCCCTTACCCCTTTGTCCTTCCAGTCAGGGATAAGCTCATTAAGAGCTCGTGGTTCAAGACAAGCTCCAGAGAGAATGTGTCCACCTAAAACAAGTTGAACAGGCATAGCTTTTACGGTGATTGAATAATTGTGATGAAACTCAGAGAACTTTCTTCAACACTTGTGAAGAAATTGCCCAATTATATGACTCAGTAACTTTTCCAAGACTGGGAAATAAACAGTATAATCACTGTGAGGCGAAAATGCATGTTAACTTGAATTAATTCAGAAGAGGTGGATAGGGGGCGTGCGTTGTCACGCAATCACATTTATGTTATGTCATCACCTTGGCCAAAAAAAAAACGTTCTGTTTGTGGCGACTCTTAAGAAGCAAAACTGAAAAATTACAAGTTCAAGTTATCTAAGACAGGAAATTAAATTTACAAACGAACATAAAGTTAGTTAACAAACGGGACGTGTTCGATGGATCGACAAGAAAAAGTAAGAGGAAATTCTCTCACCGATTTCCGAAGCTTTCTCTACGAGACAAACTCTAATTTCTTTCCCATTTTCTTCTGCCAATTGTTTCAGTCTGATTGCTGCAGATAAACCAGCTGGACCTCCACCAACTATAACAACATCGGCTTCGTCTGAAAATCTTTCCATTTCCACATCTTCAAAATAAAAAAAATCTGAAACTTAGCGGCAAAAGTTAGTGTCCAAACTTCCTGTCAGACTCAAATTCAATATATCTACTGGAAAATAATCTTTGAATTATGAGATATTATACTTCAGCTTATACCTTTCCATCTCGGATCAGTTTCTCGAGGTACAATCGTGTAATGAGTAGTGATTTTCGGCACGGATTCACTTGAATACAGGCGATTATATAAGAGAGGACGCAGGGCTGAAAAAATAAAACAAGTGGCAAGGTAAAGATAGTGACCGATAGCAACATATAGAAGTTGAAATTAACAAGTGCACACCTCTCTGCCCACTTCTGCCAAGACTCAAGAGTCGATTTTTCCACATATGTGCTGGAAAACTTGCGACAACCTCAGAGATGAAAGAACTACATAGAATTTGTAGATACAAATACTACACGACTACACGCAACACTCCAAAGGTCAAACTTTCGCGCGTAGTCTTGCTTGGTATACCGCTGATTGACGGATCTCCCACGAATGGAAAACGAAAGGTCACGAACAATCTCACGAACTTGATCGAACACAACACAAACACGGAAAGAACAAAACAAGGTTCTCTCAGAGGTGTAGGAAGATAAATCGCTGATAAATGGTACTCTGTTTTGATTCTAAACCCGGGATCTAGGAAAAAGGCTGGAAAAACGGTGTACACAGGCGATGAATAACTTCGTGTGCTGTTCTTGCTGCGCATATTCGCGTGTTAGAAACTTTCGTAGCTGGTTACGACCGGTGGTGTTTTCTTTGTACTTTTTGATTCTCTGTGTTGCACTTCCACTTACTGTTTGGGAACTGCATAAAAACAGAGCTCAGACTCACGTGCAAGCATGGTTCACAGCAGGATGTTTTGTTTTCCTGACAATTCCTATTTCCCTGTGGGGAATTCTCCAACATTTAGTGAATTACACAAAACCTGAGTTACAGAGGCGGATTGTAAGGTATTCATAAAAATTTAAATCAAATAAGCGTAATTCTTTTATTCATAATTTATTTTATTATAAATCATGGCAAGGCAGTCTTGAGGTAAATCTGAGCATTCTGATTGGTTCTTTCTTGGCCCGGATTTTGCATTATGGACCATTTCTATGGAAACAGGTGTAAGCTATGCATTTTTTGTTTTTGAAAAGCAAGAAAATTTAATAAACAACCATGGCCTGAGTGCCATGTAATAAACTACTTACTAACCTAAGCTTGCTTGAGCTGTATTGGCCCTCAGTCGGACCTTTGCCACTTTGTACCGACCTTGCCGCGCTCAGCCCATACTGCCACAACCTCAGGCCAATATTCCCTAGTATGGCCCTCGTACTCGGTTATTAAGAAGTTAATTTTTACTTAGGCTTTTAGTGAAGAACATAAAAGCATATAGTCATAAAGTGTTTTACAGAGGACATATAAAACCAAAACGGATGACCTATGATTCACAGCAAAAGTAAAAAGCAGTGAACTGATCAGTGCTCAAAGGAATGCACATAATCCATGCAAAGCATGGGGAACACAACTGAACAAAGTGCGATTAATTTTACCTTGGCATGTGGTTGGTTGCTAGTTTCTGAAACCAATCAGAGAGTGCATTATGACATTTAATTAGTAGAGTAAAATCAGTAACTGTTACTACAGTTATCGGCAGTTTGATATTCAAACAAGGTGAAAGGGCCAATTGTGCTTTGTATTGACCTGTTCGCCTCTTTTGCATGCCTTTTTAAACAAAAGAATATTTGACCGCAGATTCAACTGTAATAACAACTATTTTAAAAGAAATTATTGTGTACTACATTCAACACTCAGTTGAAAACCACTCATTCAAATAATTAGGGAACAGTGTACATGTATTTTGGTTGGCAAAGTAATCTTCTGCACTGGCTTGTCTGTTCTTTCTACTAGCTATTATGGAAGCAAGCTATTTTAGCTAACTGAATTAAGTGAGTTAGTTTGGCTGACCAAAGTGCTTATTATCTTAGGTTAAGTACAATGTTATATGTTTTTATTTTTCATTGTTTTGTTTTCAGAATTCTTTGGATGGTACCAATTTATGCAACAGATAGTGTACGTATTAGCTCTTTGCCTTTTGCAGTAAACATGTTTTTACCTATGGACCGAGGAAATACCAACAATACATTTTTTTTTTTATATTGAATGGCATTGGTAAAAGGTCATTTCCATAAATACTATACTGTGGGCCTACCAGGGTGAGTTGTAATAAGCAATGTGGCCTAAAAATTCATGAAAGCAGCACACTTATATTTGACAATTGCACCTATCAGTTCCTTATTTTACCTTTCCTCTTTCTAGTGGCTTGCTCTTCGTTTTCCCAAGGCTGCTATATACTTGGATTCTCTACGAGAGTGCTACGAGGCTTATGTGATTTATAATTTTATGACATTTTTGCTGGCTTACCTCACGGTTGAATATGACTTTGAAGTGGTTTTGTCTGGCAAACATCAAGTACAACATTTCTTTCCTTGTTGTTCCTTGCCGCCATGGAGGATGGGCAAGTATGGATTGTTTTGTTTGTTTGTTTTTTTTTTAATTCAGTTAGTATCTCTCACAGAGCTCCTGGGCAGATACCAGTAATATTATAAAGTGGAAACCCATTAATACGCTCACCAGCAGGTCATGAAAATTTGGTCATGTTAATGGAGTGGCCATATTAATGGTGTGGGGTCAAACCTCACCACTGGTCTTAATTGAATGACGTTTTAGCAGATATATCAAATTTTCACTTCTAAACAACTGTTCTTTAATAAGCATCTGGAATGCAGATATAATTTTTACAAAGTTGAAACTTGAATCAATCTATGAAATGCTAACACTGGAAAAATGAACATAACTGGCTCAAGTGGCCGTATAAACAGGGTAAATTTATAGAGGATTATACAGGTTGGGATTTCAGAATGTGGCATTGTAGTGAAGACCTATTACTTTTGGAATTAGCAATCAAGGTGTTAAGATCATCCTCACGACCCAGGGACAGATAGTCAGGACAGGTGGTGTTAATGAAATTTTCACCCATTTCACTTCCTCTCCACCTGACTATTTGCCTCTGAGTCTCAGAGAATGCTT